GGTAGGAGAGGTTAGATGAATCGGGGTCAACTCGATGGCAGAGAGGTAGGAGAGGTTAGATGAATCGGGGTCAACTCGATGGCAGTGGGTTTGGGTTGGTTTGGGGCATGTCAGAACTTCACGTTTCCTTCAGTGGCGTCATCAAACCGGATTCATATTTTTCAAGTATATCAAGAGTATTGCCTCAATGTCTGTGTGTGTGTGTGTGTGCGCTAGTCACAATGGAACAGCTACTGACAGCACATTTTTAAGTCTAATCTGCACTATTAGCCTTTTCTCCGTCACATTCTCAAGTCTGACAGCCAACAAAGCAAGAAGCCAAGCCCTGAGCTGCAGCTTCTATTGAATTCCATGATGTAAAATTTCCCACCATGGCCTTTGTCCAACTCCCAACATGAAGTCACCGGACGTGGAGCCGATTCTGACCGGAAAATCCATCGGCGTGTGCTGTGTCCCTCATACGCAGACGCAGATGTTGATGACCCGGGAATAACCAAATGTAGCAATGAGGACGTGGCGAGCTTGAGTAGGAGTCCCTGGCCAGGGTTTACTGGTAAATGCTGGGCTACTAGCCAAAAGGCTGGATGTTCAACTCTGACCAGGGGTGCCTCAGAAGTAAGGTGAGCCTGAACACTTGCAGCCTTGCAGACAGCGCGGAGCTCAGCTTCCCTTTGAAGTGCGTGGGCTTCTGTGAGTTGCACGCAACACGGCTACAACTGGTTTCGTTTTGTGTTTCGATGGTCACCTTTGTTTATCACCTTTGTTTCAATATGGATTACTTACTGGTAAGTTTATAAATTTAACAAACTTCTCACGCGCTTCCTGGAAATTGAACGATCTGTTCTCCTGAGCTGGGGGAGCCTCAGTAGGTAGAACTGACCCTGCCCTTCTCTGCCCTTAAGCGTCCCCTCCTGGCTGGAGTGCCCTGGTGCATTGCCCCCCAGTATGAATAAGTCTCAGCTTGTCCTTGTCCTTGTCTCTTTAACTTGTAAACGTAACACAAAGCCTGTTTGAGAGGCCTTCCGGGCCTGAGTGAGAAACATAGCAGAGTCTTCCAAGATGGGGTGATCTCTGAGCCTTAAAGTCACACCCCCACCAGAACAACTCAGAAGGTGACCCTGAGGAGCTTGTTATCGTGCCGTTTCCTGGGCCTGGCCCTGGCCATGCAGATTCTCTGGGGCCAAGGTGACTCCTGGGAACCAGCGTGTCATTAGGTGAACCTGGTGGAGGCTGCAGCAGGCAGCCCACCACTCACCGCAGAGGACCGAACTCAGGCAGCTCCTCTCAGAGGCCCAGCATGCCTGCTGCCTGGGGATCCTGGGGTCAGGCCCAGGATTAGCTGAGCCTGCAGCCAAAGCCCCTCTCAAAGGGGAGGGGAGGCCAGGGAAGTCAAAGGGGGGTCAGCCAAGGCTGTTACACCCTCTGACCTTTCTCATGTGATGATTAAACCGGACCCAGATGCCTGGAAAACTTACTTCGTTTCCCGAGATTTATAATCAGCACTAATTAAAAGAACGCAGACAAGACCAAGAGGCAGCCATTCAAATAGAACGAGAGGCTATGTAAAGTTTCCGGAGTGGCAAAGACCTCGGTTCTTGGCTTCGCACGATGAAAGAATTCACTTCACAGCTGAAGCCCGTTTTGTGATCCAAGTGGGTTTTTATGAAGGACCCGGCAAGTTTCAGGTGTTACCGTCTCAAAAGGGTACGCGCTATTTCAGGGAAGTGTGCCAAGCTGTGTGGACATTCACAATTGGACACGAACAACCATGTGGAAGAGAGCACCCAAGCGTGCAGAATTGGGGTGGGGGGGGG